CGCGGCGCCGTGGGGGGATAAGTGGCTCCTTCTGGTCGGGCGCCCCACCGAGCCATTGAGGGCTTCGTGACTCCCCACTCCCCCAAGAAAAAATCAGAACAGACACCCAGGGGACGAGAAGGAAATGATTTATTTCAAGTCCCAGAAGGACCTTGGGAGGATCCCAGGCATGTGCTCCGGCCATCCAGAGCTTCAGGGGTGGGGGGTGGGGGCTGCCAGCTCCTCCCCACTTGGGGCAGGGGAAGGGAGGGCTCAGTGATGGTGCAGAAGAGGGAGCACTGCAGTGTCTGGGGCGTGGAGGGGTGCACATGGACCCCCCCCCCATGGCTGTTCTGCGTGCAGCAGTGGTGGAAGGAATCCGGATGGAAAATGTCAGATACCCTGTTTGACCCCTTGCCTGGGAGGCTGGCTGCTCCAGTTAAACAAGGGGAGGGGGCTGGTTCCCCACCAGGGGCCGGAAAAGAAGCCCATAAAAGTTCCTGAGCAGGAGGGGGAAGAGCCTCAACTCCGCCCCTGGCAGAAAGGAGCCAGAGGGGAAGTCACAGTGAGGGCCAGCGGTGCCACGGGGGCGGCGAGGAGCTGAGGGTGGTCGGCAGAAACCCTGAGACAAGGCCTCTCGGTCAAGCGGGAGGTCAGACCAGGCTTAAGTGGAGGGGACAGCAGCCCATAAAATGCCCCGGGTTCAGGGCAGGCGCCCCAGAATGGAAGGGAGGTCCACCTGGTACCGGAACCCTGGGCTCCCTCCTGCGCCAGCTTTGCCCCAGGAATCCCCCTTGCTGAGCTCCCCCACGGGCCCTTTCCAATTGGAGTTGTGGGCTGAGGATCTCCAGGGCAGGCTGCAGGTACAAAAGGAGGCTGGCTGCAGACCTTTGGCTCCCCAAGCCCCCAGTATGCCGAGGAAGGTGGGGAGGAGACCCTGGGGATCAGTGGCACCTCTGGGCAGCCACGCTTCTGCTGCAGAGCCAGGAAGGATGAGGCACAGCAAGGAGGGGCGAAGGGAGGGCGGCACGGTGGGAGGCTGGGGAAAGGGTCTGCCTGGACCTCCCTCGGGAGCCGCGGACTGGCCAGAGCGCCTGAGCCGAAGTACAAGAGGGCCCCATCTGTCTGGATGGGAGCCCAGGGCCAGCCGCCCCCAAGACCAGGGAGCCCTCCAGAGAGGGAGCAGCCGGGCCCTCGGCAGAGGCGCTGCTCAACAGATCAAAGCTCGTCAGACGCTGAGAATCGAGGGGCAAAATCAATTTGGCAACCAAAGGTGGCCTCCCTGCCCCTGCCCCCCACCGGCAGTTCCCTCTCCTTACACAGATATACTGAAATGATAATTTGCCAGAGGAGCTGCCTGGCCCTGGCTCCTTCTTCCAGGGAGGTGGAATGCTTTAATGGAGGAGGAAGAGGAGGGGGAGTCCAAGGAGGCTGCACCGGTGGCCAGGCCACCTCCCTCACGCCAAGCTCCTGCGGGGGCCCTGGAAGAGGGCGAGGGCGTGCGGTGGGATTCATGGGGGCCCTGAGGAGCCCTGCTCCAGCTGGCACTCCGGGCCTCTGGCCGGGGGCTAGGTCTCCCGGCTGCTCTCCTGGCCTCGGGGCCCGGCGTAGAGCACGGCCAGCTGCCGGAAGCGGGGGCCCCAGCCGCTGAGATAGGAGAAGTCCTGCTCAGAGCCAGTCGAGCGGGAAGCGATGGAGCTCAGGGAGGCCGGAGGGGAGTCGGCCCCCTCAAAGGCGTAGGTCTGGAAGGAGTCGTAGGGGGGCACGGATGGGTCCGCATCCGCCTGCCCCACTTTGCGGCCGATGTAGTCTCTGAAGAGGGCGAAGTCGAGGTCTGGCGCCTGGCGCCACTGGGGCAGGGTGTGGAGCTCCGAGGGCAGGGGGGGCGTCCCCTTCTCGTCCCCCTTGGTCTCGCTGAACTCGTAGAGGCTGCGCAGCGCCGACATGTCATAGGCCTGGGTGTCCTGCTCGCCACCACCCTCATCGTTGTACTTGATGACGTTGTCCCGCATGTCCTCGTCTTCCTCTGAGGCCAGGTGCCCCTTCTGGTGGCGCTTCAGGGCCAGGATCAAGAGGACCAGCACTGCAGCCATCCGGGGCATGTGGGGAGAGAGGCAGGCAGTGGAAGAGCCTCCTGTGCAGGGTGCTGACCCCCTGCAGCCAGGGGCTTTGAAGAGGGCCCACAGCCGTCCGGGCCAGCCCGCCTGGCCCGGCTGTCGGAGAGGCTGCTGCCCTGGCCGTGGGACAGCCTGCACACCCCACCAGGGATCCAGACTGCCAAACCTCCCTCTGGCTGTGAGGCCTTTCTGTGGGAGCTGCAGCTGTGTCCCCCTGAAGGGGCTCGGGCGAGGGAGCAGGCGCTCCTCCCCGGCTGACCCCAGAGGAGCACCAGCCTGAAATCCTCAGAGGAGGCAATGCTGGGGAGAAGGAGGCCCCTGCAGACAAACCAGGCCCTTTGATCTTGTTAATTTCATGCCCCAGGAACTGAGGGCAGAAAGCCCCCCTGCATCTAATTCAGGGAGGGCTGGTCTGACTGGGGGCGGGGGACCAGGCACGGCAAAGGATGAGCACGAGGACACAAGCAGGCACCCAGCCGAGGCTGTGCCTGCCCAAGGAAGAGGAGACGGGCGCTGGCGCCTCTCCCCTGTTCCAGCAGGACCACGTCCTGCTCTCCACCTCCCCCAAGATGCTAGTGTGCCAAGGGCGGTGGGGCAGGACACTGCCATGGCAGCTGCGAGCCCTCATGGCAGCAGCTCCTCAGCCCAGTAACTCCTGGGGCAGTGGGGGCAGGAGGGAGGCACGTGTGGCTCTGTTTGCAGAGGGCAGAGCAGCGCAAGAAGAAGAGCAAGGCGTGCATGGGGGAGACACTCACCCACAAGGATGAGAACGCAGACCAGCAGGGCAATGAGGGCGCCGGGGCTGAGCGAAGGGGCTACCACAAAGGCGGTGGTGTTGCACGACTGGATGGTGCCAGCGTTGTCGCAGCCGCAGATACGGACAGTGAGCGTGCCGGTGCTGCTGAGGGTGGGTGGGCCGCTATCCACCACCAGGATGGGCAGCAAGAAAATATCCTGCTCCTGCCGATTGAAGCCCGGGTGCTGAGTGTGCAGGGCAGCTGTGCTGTCTGGGGAGAGAGCCAAGACCAGGAGGAAGCGGGGGGCTGCTGGCAAGAAGCACCCTCCTGGCAGACCCCAAGAAGGGTTCCCTCAGCCCCCAGGAGACGCCACCCCACTCGGGCACCTCCACACCTTCCCCAGGAGCTGGCTGTGGTTGGAACAGGTGAGACAGTCCATTAGGGAGCCACCATAATACAATGCCCCCCCCCTCTGCAGGGGGAGGCCAGCTGGTGCTCCTGCTGCTCCCCCAGCCGGAGAAGAGGGGGTGGAAGGAAGGGCAGAGGCACGGCCCCCATGGGCCCTGGGATGCACTGGGCCCATTCTGCAGCAGGTTGGGGGGGGGGGGTCCCCCCTGGGCTGGGAACCTGGCAAGGCTGGGCACGGCCACTCACTCCCCAAGGAAGAGCCATGAGTCAGGCTGCTCCGCGGCCAGTCAAAGCGGCAGCCAGCTGCCCTCAGGGGACAATCCCTGGCACTGCAGCTGCCACGCAGAGGGCTGCTTGCTGGGCTTGGAAACCCACTGCCCGGATCCTGAAAGCAACCCCCTTCCTCCCCAACCCCTTCCTCTTAATGAGGCCTTCCACCATCTCGCCTGCGGCTCAGAGTCAATAGCCTGGCTGTGCGACTCCTCGAGACCCAAGATGCTTCCCACGCGAGACGGCCCACCTGCCTGGAGAAGAACGTTTGGGACCACAGCTAGCCTCCCCCATCTGTCAGGGCCCCCCACTGGCACAGTTGGTAGGAGAACACCCCCCCAGCCCAGACAGCCCGGCTCCACCCCCAGTCTGGGCTCCTTGTGGCCCGGGGGGCACAGCCTTCTGCCAAGCACGGACATACCAATGGGGAGGCAAGGAAGAGGGGCTCCGCGCAAGGGCCCTTTGGCAAGGCCCCTTGGGGAAGGTGGCCTTTCTGGGCACGTGCCGGGGATGTGCGTGGACCAGAAAAGACGGGGCGCAGGCAGGTCCTTCTCGGCTCCTGATTTGGAGAAGAGTGGCAGAGCTGGCCAGCGCAGGTCGGAGCCTCCGAGAACCTTTTCCAGGGAAGGGACTGATGCCGCCCTCTTGGGAGCGGGCAAACCTGTCGGCATGCCCAGACACTGCAGGGGGCTGCTGGCCGCCAAGGCCCACGAAGCCAGCCCGGGGTAAGTCCAGGCCGCTTCCGCCTCTCTGCAGTGCCGTCCCCCGCCCGGGACTCCCTTGCTCCTGGGGGTGGCCAGTGCGGTGCTGGGATTGGGCGTGTTTCTGAGTTTCCTGGAAATCTGCTCCCACCCGTCCCTCTGGCCCCCCAGGTGCCCGCTATCCCCCAAGTCTGCCTACGCCTTTTTTCCAGGCAGAAAGCACCGGCCTGGCTGCTCCAGAGTCTAATTTTCCAGGAATGCTCCTGAGGCGCAAAAGGGTCCCCAGGAATCAGATCAGCGGAGCTGTCGGGGGGCAGCAGTCGTGACAGATTTGCCTACTTATTTAAAGGCTCAGACCAGCCAGCCAGCCAACCAACATTGGCTCCCTCACGCTCTGCTTTGCTTACTCTTGCCTGGGTTCAAAACCATCTTGATAATTTGGGGAAATAGCTTGCAAATTAAATGTAGGAGGGGTCGATGCAAAAATCTTAGCCTGGGAAACCTAGATAGAGGATGGGGGATACCTGGTTTGGCAATAATGTTATGAAAGGGATCTTGGCGCTGCAGCTGATTGGAAACAGAATAGAACCTGAGTCTGTGGTATGGCTGCAAAAAAGGCAAACGCAGATTAGGGAAGAGCTGCCTCTCCAGGTGCACTTGATTCCTGATGATGATGATGATGATGATGATGATGATGATGATGATGATAAAAAAATAAAGTCGGTGCTGTTTTCCGGGGAATGCTTTTCAGCTTTCCAGCCTAGCCTGCAGCCCTGGAACTCCCTGCGCAAACATAATTTCAGGATGCGTAATCGCAAAAGAGGTCCCCCAAACAGCATAACGGAAGGAGTCATTCTACCTTCCTCTGCTTTGCTCAGATCCCCCCACCTGCGTCCGGCTTTGGCACTACCCTCTAAGAAGGGTCCGGAGAGAAGGGCCGTGAGTGAGAGGGGGCCCAGAAGCAAAGCCCGGGAGGCTTGGCCTTGAGAGGAGAGCCAGGAGGGGCTCTCCAAACACCCGAACAGGGGCCACACCAGAGCCATCGGGACCTGCCCCCTCTTGTTCAGCGTGCAGGATGCAGAATAATCAGCTGGCAGGTTCTGGTTGTGGAGGCCTTGCTGCCCCCTGAGCTTGGCGGTTTGCTTGCAGACGTTTCATCACCCAGCCAGGGAACATCACCAGCGCATGAAGCGTCCGCCAGCAACCACCACGCCCAGGGAGCAGCAACTACGGAGATTCTCTTCTATCGGAGAAGCCGACTTTCTAGCCAAACGAGCCGTTTGACAGTGGAACCAATGACCCAAAGAGGTGGGGGGTTCCCCTCCACTGGCTGGGTTCAAGTGGAGGCCGGACAGCCGTTTGGCAATGAGATGCTTTCGTTTGGATTCCCGGTCCGAGCAGGGGGTTGGACCGGATGGGCTCAAGACCCCCTCAGCACTAGGGTCCTATGCTGCTTCCCACGTCTATATTCCTCGCAACTCCTGCTGTGCTGCCCCTCAGGATGGGGGGAGGGATGAGCGAAGAAGGCCGGGAGGGGGTGCCCAGAGTACATCTATCCCCAGCAGGGTCACCCACGGCACGAGGGCCATCCCTGCTGCCCAGCCAAACCCAGCAGGCACAACGTTGGGCAGCAGCGATAGAGGGAGGAGCGGGGCAGACGACCCTGCTGTGACAATGCAAAGGGATCCGTTCCCACCGTGCAGGAGAAGGCAATGGCAGACCACGCCTGCATCTGTACCAAGAAAACCCCATGGACGATGGATAGAAAATATAAAACGATTGGCGATATAGTGCCGGATGATGGGCCCCAGGTCAGATGGCACTCACGACATTACTGAGGAACTGCTGAGCATCTTTCGGAGTCCTAGTGGTGTTTAAGGTGTGGCTAGATTAAAGCCTTCCGCAGGTCTAGCTGCGGATGTTGCCGCACAGGAAGAGAAAATCCGAAGCTGCAAAGACAGAATTACAGTAGGAACAGGGAACGTAAGAAGGGTGAACACGGGAAAGCTCAAAACAGTGAAAGATGAAATGAAACGACTACAAATTGACGTCTTAGGCATCAGCGAATGGAGATGGACTGAGACTGGACACTTTCAGTCAGAAGATCACATTGTTTATTACTCGGGACATGAAAAACAAAGAAGGAACAGAGTTGCTTTTAGAGCTGGGGAGGGCACAGCAAGAACAGTACTTGGCTACAATGCAATCAATGACTGAATAATGTTGATTAGACTGTGGACAAGCCTTTAAAATGACATTCATTCAAGTTTATGCTCCAACCACCGATGCAGAAGAAGAGGAAGGTGATGAGTTTTATGGTAAGTTCAGTCTGAAATCGACAGAAATGCAAGGAGGATGTGCTGCTTCTGGTTGGGAATGAAATGCCAAAGTTGGAAATAGTAGGGAGGAAAATGTAGTTGGAACCCAAAGTAGGAAACTTAAATGAAGCAGGAGAATGACTTATCAGTTTCTGCCAATCTAATTATTTCTTCATTGCTAATACAGTCTTCCAACAACCCAAACGATGCCTGTATACATGGACATCACCAGACGGAGTAAACAGAAATCAAATTGACTATATTACGGCTACAAGGAGATGGAACTCAGTTATATTGGCAAAGACGTGGCCAGGGGCTGGCTGTGCAACAATTCACAGGCTGCTCTTGGGCAAGTCCCAAGCCAAGCCCAGCAGCAGCAGGTTCCACGATAGGATCCCGAGCACAGACCCCGTTTTCGAGGAA